CAGTTGGTGGCGGTTGTATTTCTGTTTGAATTTCTGTAGGGCAAGTTGTTGATGGTGGAACTTCGCTCGGGGCTGGTTGTATTTCTGTTTGAATTTCTGTAGGGTAAGCTGTTGACGGTGGCGCTTCGTTCGAGGTTGGTGACGGTTGCATTTCTGTTTGAATTTCAGTAGGGCAAATTGTTGATAGTGGAGCCTCGTTCGGAGTTTGTGGTGGATATGCTTCGGTTTGAATTTCAGTAGGATAAGTTGTTGACGGTGGCGCTTCGCTTTGGGTTTGTATAGGTACTTCGGTTTGAATTTCAGTAGGGCAAGTTGTTGATGGTAGGGTTTCACTTGGAGCTGATGTTGGTCGTACTTCCTTTAGAGTTGTATCGTGTGCTTCAACAGGTTTAAGATTGTTTAGTTTCCTCACCTTCTTCTTGAAATGGTTCTTCTTTTTTTTCAGCTTTTGGAGGTTGCATATGTTCGTATTTTTCCATATACTGTTCAGTATCCTGAGGTTGCTCAATTTCTTCACATTCTTCTGGAAGTTGCTTAGCTTCTTCTAATTTCTTTGGAGGTTGTTCATTTTTTTCTTCATATGGTTCCGGAGGTCGTTCGCTTTCTTCACATGGTTCTGGGTTTTGTTCACTTTCTTCACATGTTTCCGGAGGTTGTTCAACTTCACATTCTTCTGAAGGCTGTTCACTTTCTTCTTCACATGTTTCCGGAGGTTGTTCAACTTCACATTCTTCTGGACGCTGTTCACTTTCTTCTTCACATGTTTCCGGAGGTTGTTCAACTTCACATTCTTCTGGACGCTGTTCACTTACTTCTTCACATGTTTCCTGAGGTTGTTCAACTTCACATTTTTCTGGAGGCTGTTCACTTTCTTCTTCACATGTTTCCTGAGGTTGTTCAACTTCACATTCTTCTGGAGGCTGTTCACTTTCTTCTTCACATTTTTCCGAAGGTTGCACGACATCCTCACATATTTCCTGAGATTGTTCAGTTTCTTCGCATTTTTCTGATTGATGTTGGTCATCCACGATAATGATAACGGGTTTTGTAACCACAGATTGCTCATCGTCAGTATGAATGGTTTGTTCAGAAGAAGGTGAAGGTTGAGGTGGTGATTCTTTTGGGGGCATGGGCGATTCTTGTGGGGGCATGGGCGATTCTTGTGGGGGCATGGGTGATTCTTGTGGGGGCATGGGTGATGGTTGTGGGGGTGGTGATGGTTGTGGGGGTGTCATCATTAAGGGTGGTTGGCATAAAGGACAAACAGGTGTTTCGAATCCCATACAACTACCGAATTGTTGAAAATGTGAAAATGGGCACATTTGACATTCGCCATTGTAGAAGAAATCAGGATGGCATAAAGTTCTTTCAAATAATGGATGTTCTTGAAATGTTGGGTGTGGGACTGCAAGAATTCGAATAATTGCTGTGGATAAAATTAATATAAAGGTGTGAGAAAGTTGAAAATAATAAGATTTGTGCGCCATTTTCTGTTGCAAAAATCGAACGAAGTGTTAAACTAGCGTTTAAAAGTGTATTGCGTTATTTAGTACGAATGGCTTAAATGTATGTGCACAACATTGCAACTTTATACTGTTTTCTTCAAAAGTAAATTTGTTAAAAAACAAATTAATAGATATTACATTTGTTTATCATTTTTTAAAGAATTTCTTCATATATTATTGATATAAAGGCAATTTTATCACTCACTTTGTGATTGATTTGGCATAAATTGAAATCTCACGTCCAATCATCAATTTATCCGGTTTAATAACAGCTTCATGTGATTAATATCTTTGTTATCGACATGCACTTATTTGCGAAATAACGACCGTCATGATCAGAGGCATAAATTGTTATCCCTCGAATCGTCCCGACACATGTACAAAGTTAAAAACACGAAAAGGCAAAATATAATAAGGAATGTCCCAATTTGGGTTAATACCAAGGATGGTAAATAACGATAAGCAGGTTTAAACATTTTTTCACCGAATTATAACAGGTAATTATTAAAGTCCTAATAATTAAATCTGTATTTAGGATCATAATTATCGCCTGTACTTAATTATGTAATAACAGTTTTAAAAGCACTGAACTCAGATATTTTCGTGATTATCACATCACACTCGACCTTTGGGTTAGTGTTAGGGTTAGGTGATTATATAGTTTAAGCCGATTTGTTAGTGCTAGTAGCACGTGACAAGTTATGTCGATCACCAGTGTAGGCTTTAAGTTACTTAATATTGAAGAATTTTATTATTTACCGCCACGGCAGGTCCCTAAAATCATGTGATATCATATATAACTATCAAAACGAAAGAGCACAAAATCAGAATTTAGCGCAGGCTTTAATTTACTTAATATTCGATATTTAAAAATGTTTACATATAACTATTTAGAAGTCAAACTATTTGTTGAATTTTTAAGGTATACGAGATCTTGTGATCTTATTGGCTACAATTAGTGATGATCGACATAACCTGTCACCCCAGTGAAACCATGAAAGATCGTTGTATATTGTCAGAGGTAAAACCGACACCTCATAGAGCCTGCAAAATGGACGTCATTGTGGCATACTTACCTAATTAGA